GATCGAGAGCAGAGGAAAACCTGAGGCAAACTGTGAAGCACTTCAGGAACGCGGAGCCCCTCCCCAACGAAAAGGGTTCCTTCTGCAGGGCCCCGACTGCATACCCCCGGGGGCTGCTCTTTCCGGCCACGGCGGGCCCGGGTCACAGGCAGGGGCGCCACGGCATGCACGCGCACACGTCGTTTCCTTTCTGATCGCGCTCGCTCTCCAAGTCTGCGCGTCTCTGATTGTCCCTGGCCCCCCTTCTGTGGCCAGGAACAATTAGAAAGGAGATCCTGGCCCCCCAGAGATCAAAGAACCTCCGAAGAATCAGACATGAACCATGTGTGAGGAACGCCCCGGAAACCAGAGCCCCGCCTGAGCCCAAGCTGGTCCCAGCTTCAGCGCTTTGGCCACGGGCGCGTCGAACGACGAGAGATCTCGCCCTCGGGGATATTGGGGCACCGGAGGAGGGAGGCCCCTGAACAGATCCGGCACGAAAGTTGCCCCTGACAGCCGACCGAGCACGACCGAGCGCCACGGCGCGCTGCGCGACAGGCCGCCCTCGCCCCCTCTCCGCAGCCGCATCGCGGCGGCGAGCCGGGGGGGGGGGGGGAAAGGGCCGGGCCTGCTCAGAGGGCTCAGTGAGCCCCCGGGACTTCTGAGAAGTCTTCTGGGCCTCCCCCGAAGGCGCGGCAGACTTCCCAGAAGGACGGAGGCCTCCTTCTGGGAAGGCGGCCTCGCTCGCCGTCGAGGTCCGGCGCGTGGGCGCCAGATCCACGGATCGGGGGGAGCACCGACCCAAGCATGAGTCGGGGAGACGTAAGACCCGGGTACGGGGCTCGGAAATCCCCGACGAGGTCGTCAAAAAAATGACGAGGCCGAGCCTGCATTTTGACGAGGCCTCCCGCTGCAGACATCCCACGAAACTCCTACTCGTCAAAATCCGAGTCGCGGTCGTCAAAAAAAAATGGCGAACCCGAGTCCTGGCAAACCCGGGTCTTACGCTCCCCCGAATGAGGCCAATGCTGCCTCGTTCGGCGACGGCTCTGGTGCGGAGGCGAGTCCCATCGGTCCTCCACGCGCCTCCATCTATGTCTTGGCGCTCCCTCGAGTGGGGAGGTGGGCTGGGCGTGTGCTGTCTGTGATGGAAGGGGCCCCAGGACACACCAATAAATAGACACAAATAAAAAAAAAAAACATATCTTCGCATATTTTCTGGGTTTTTGTCTTCCCCCCCCACTCCCTATATTTTCCTATATTTTCCTGGAAATCGACAAATAATTGTGTCTGTGTGTTTTTCCCCCTCCTGAGTGATGGGCCAAATCTTTTTCCAGCTTTGCGTACATCTTGGCATTGTGTATGTTGTCGTCGTGCTGTTGCTGTGTGAAACTCTTCGGCGCCCAGAGAGGCGCCTCGCGAGGCCTGCCACACGGACAAGAGAAGAGAGCACGGCATAGACATCATACGCTTGCGGAGCTCCGCGCGGAGTTCTCGGAACGGCGCTGGACGCTCCTCCCTGGCGCGCGGGGCGCGACAGGGGCGGCGCCAGAGGCGCCGCCGAGGCGGTTCCGGTGCCGATCCGAGAAGTCCGCGCGGACCTCCGAAAGCCCAGGTTTACATCTACCGACTCCCTCTCCGAGGGGAGCGCTCCTCGGCGCACAAAAAGGCGCCGAGGGGGTCCCAGTGCCGACCCGAGACTTCCGCGCGGACCTCCGAAAGCCCAGGTCTACATCTGCCGACTCCCTCGCCGAGTGGAGCGCTCCTCGGCGCACAGAAAGGCGCCGCGCCGGGCGGCGGAGCGCGCGCGCAGCGGGCCGGCGTGCAGCGAGCCCGGTGGGTGCCCAAGCTGAGGGCAGAGCCCACGTCACGCGATGCTGAATCGCATCCTGCAGAGCGTGCGTCTCGCCCCCCTGGAGAAGGGCTGCCCATTTTGGGGGTGCACTTCGTCGTGGCGTTGTCTTGGCGCGAGGGGCGCGGACACCCTCGTCGTCCATCCGCCCGCACGCCCAGCCTGCGCCCAGGGCTGGCCTGGCCAGGGGGTGGGCTTCAGTGCGTCGGGAGCCGCGGGGAGGCCAAATCCAGGCGCGCCAGCCAATCCGACAAGCCATTTCTGGGGGATCATGGGTCTTGGGGGAGCCAGGGGCGACATCTTAGGTGGCATTTCTCTTTTAGGCAACGTCGGCCTTGAACCCAGCCCGAAAGGTGGCACAATACCTCAAACAATACCTCTGCCTGCACAGGACCGGAAACCCCGCGCGATCTGGCACAGGGGTGACCGTGGCAAACTCACGCCAGAAGTACAATACCAACGCCAAACAAACAAAAACGCGAGACCCATCAAGCCCCGATCTCAAGAAAATGACATCACATGCATCTGGCACCCCTGGGTGGGAAGACCGAACACCTCCACGAGAACGGCGCGCACGCATGGGGGCAATTGTGTGTGACGCGCGACGATAAATCACGCCGCGTTGGAAACTCGGGAAGTAGATGCCTACAGACCGCGCCTCGCAACAACGCAGGCCCACCACGGATCGCGCAGCACGGAGACTGCGCCACTGCGTGTCCGCGGGAGCGCCACCCCGACAACACTTGAACGATATGTGATACGATTTGAACCGAAAGGCGGGGACCCTCGGAAAATCAAGGGGTGGGAATGGCCGCCGGCAACCAGCCGTCGGCGCGAGACCATTGCAAGGAGCCCGAAGGAGTGCGCGAAGCGCTGCGAACCCTCCCCTCCCATCCTAACCGCGTGGGAGGGACCCCTGTGGGCCCACGCCAAATCATGTGCCCCGACACGCAGCACGCAAGACGTAGCGTGTTGACACGGAGCTCATCGCGGAGACTGATCACGCAGGCCTGGCGCGACACGCCCTCCAAAGCGTGGACCGACAGGTGCCGAAGCAGCACGCGGCGCGCAAGCACGGACGTGTTCAGCACGACGCGTGCGCGTCGGGGCAGCCGAGCCCCCCTGTGGGACCGCACCAGAGGTCACCCTGGCAGAGGGCCGCTCTTACGCGCCGCCGACTGCTCGGGAGCGGCCAAAGAGGGGGGTGTCCAAGAGGGGGGGGTGCAAATCATGACCGGCGGCACGTGCGCGGCCCAGCGGGGGGACCAGGGACGTAGAGAAATAGGGAGAGGCGCCATGGAATCTGGGGAAATGTCATGGCCCACGCCACGATATCCACCCCCCCCTGGTCATCACCCCCCTCTTTTCCGCCCCCGAACTTCCTGGCGCGGCGGCCCGGGCCTCGGAGTCGGCGGGCCGGGGAGCTGGCCTGGAGCGGCCCCGTCCCGGCGGCCTGCTTGCGGGGGGGGGGGGGGCGGCGACCCCGGGCCGCCGCCGCGGGGCACCTCGGGCACACACGCCGAGAGAGCGCTGTCGACGGGGCCCCGGGGGCACGCAGATGAGCAGGCACTGTGTGCAGGGATTCCGAGAATTCCCAGCTGGTTTCTGGAGGTTCGAATTCCCCCCCCCTTCCCAGTCTGTTCCATATTTCCCTGCGGATCGGCGATTCTTAGCGTATGTTTTTTTCCGCTCCCGAGTGTGCAGCCGTTGCGGGCCCTGGTCGCCCCCCCCCCCACCCTTCCTTTCATAGGGCAAGAACACCACCCTCATCATAAGCACCCCGACATGCGGAGCCGATGTACTAAACGCACCCCAAGGGGGAAACGAACAGGACGCGGCTGTTCAGTAAACGCCCAGAGCCGTTTGGCCAACGCCAATGATGGGAGTCGGGATGGTTTTTCCTCCCCTGAACGACTTCCCCAGGTGATGTCACGATTCGTGCTGACCTCCGAGCTGTCCTTGATTATTCCTGAGCGTTCCCACACGGCGCCAGCGCGAAACGTGACGTTACTGGCCCCCCTCAACCCCCTAACGGGAAAGCCCGCTATCGCAGGGAGATGAAAGAACGCTCCCTGGTTGGCATGGATTGGGAATCCCTGGATCCTGGGGAGCAGAAAGACATACTAGAACTATGCGTCCCTCTTGGAGGCACGCGTCCAGCCCGACCAGATGGTACAGCAAGACTGCGGCAGATCGTTCCCCAAGCAGTATGGCGAAACATCGCCAGCCATGGAGGGGGCACTGTTCGATTTCTGGGGGTGCGCGTCGCCCCTGCGGTTCCGGCGCGCACATCGTACGGCGGGTTTGTGTCGTGACGACCCCAGCGTTGGTTTCTGACATCGCCTTGATCGTTCAACCTTGAACGATCGGCGGCTTATCGATTGCCATATCGTTCCATATTAGGACGATTCTGGGCCACTGGCGGCGTTCAACCTTGAACGCCCGCGGCGGGGTCGCGACAAGTCGACACGACGCGAACCTACCGTGTGAGTGTAGCTGAGATCCGGCGCGGGGGCGCCGGATCCACGGATCGGGGAGGGCATACCCCTATACAACCCGAGGCCCGCGCGTGGTTTGGAGACACAGCGCGCCGGTTCTGCAGGGAAGCGAGACCCGCCGCCAATCCACGCGCCTTGACCCGTGTTTGTGCCTCATGGATTCTCCCCGACCTCGAGGTCGAGGGCCTCCTGAGGCAGGCTCGGTGGCGAGGTCTCCCTTCAGAGGGTTCGTGGCCCGCGCCCTGAGGAGGTGGGCGCACCAGCCAGCAGGGGGTGCCGCCGCGGTGAGAGGCAGGCAGGCGCGTTACACTACTCGCAAAGTAACCACTCGCAAATGGCTTGGACCCGCCATTGGTGATCTGCGATACATTACACGTCGTTCATTTCTAATCGTGCTCATTTCTGATTGTGCTCGTTTCTAATTGTTCCTGGCCCCCTAGTGGCCAAGAAGAGGCCCAGGAAAGCACACTCAGAGAGGAGAGGATCCTGGCTCCCCAAGCAAGTCAGAGAACTTTCGAAGAATCAGAAGCGAACCATGTGACGTGTTTTTGATGATGATGATGATGATGATGATGATGATGATGATGATGATGATGATGATGATGATGATGATGATGATGATGATGATGATGATGACGATGTTGATGATGTTTGGGAGGAAGAGGAGGAGGAGGAGGAGGAGGAGGAGGAGGAGGAGGAGGAGGAGGAGAAGATCCTGCCTTCGAATAGGCAGGAAGCGTGTCTTTGTCGGACGTCTGCGAGCAGGCGCTCTGCGAGTCTCGCGGGAGCGCGCTCGGCGGAGCGAGCTCGGCCGCTCTCCCCGCGGACCTCAGCGGGCCCCCCGCTGGCAGGCGAGGTCTGCTGGGTGGGCTCCGCCCATGGAGGCTCCGCCGGCTCTGGGAGAAGCACGCACGCACGCACGCACGCACGCACACGCACGCACGGACGCACGCACGCACGCACACACACACACACACACACACACACACACACACACACACACACACGCACGCACGCACGCACGCACACACACACACACACACACTGTGGAAACAAAAGCACACAGTGTGTGGACAAACATACTCAGTCTGTGGAAAAAGCACGGGCGTGTTTTTTCCACAGGCTGTGCGTGTTTTCTCCACAGGTCTTCTGGGTGGGCCGCCCTGGAGGCTCCGCCATCCAGGGGAAGGGGGGGGCACCCTGAAACAGTTAGACACACAGGAAGCGTCCAGCAGCGATTGGAGGGCGCCTCAGGTACCATCTGGCGCCAGCGGGCAGAAGAGCACGTGCGTCCTCGACAACAGCCGTTGACCTACCTCCTACCTGTCCCTGCGCCCAGAGCTGACCGGGACTTTCAATGTCAATTAAGGAACCCCGGCTGGGAGATGGTGCTGGGACGTCGGAAGAATCCCGCGTCTTCCTGTGGGGCCGTCTGGCTGGGTCAGGTGCGTGGGCGGACGCTCATGGGCCCTAACACAGTCGTGCATGTGTGTACGGGGTGAGCGCTGGCGGCCTCGATAGGAAAACCAAAAAAACATCACAAGCATACGCTTTCTACGGTCCGCGCTGACTTCTTGGATCTGCGCTGGACTACCCCTCCCTGGCGCGCGGAGCACGCCACGGGTGGCGTCGGAGGCGCCGCCAGGGGGCCCAGCGCCGATCCAAGAACTCCGCACTGATCGCTGAAGGTCTATGCCTATGCAGTTTTCTCGTCTTCGGCTCAGGCTCCATGCCCTGGCGCCGAGCAGATCTGCCCAGCGTTTGCGGGCAGCCGTCCGGCAGAGCCCGACGGTGCCTCGTGGCCAGACCGAAGGACGGAACGCGCCGCCGCCGCCTTGGCCTGCAGCCCAGCGAGAAGCGCCTTCGGCTGGCAGCAGCGGTGAGCAGAGCCGAGGCGGTCCTGCGGAGCGCAGGCGCGCTCGTGGCCACCCGGGGGGGAAGAAAAACCAGCTGTCGGGGATGGACAGACCTCCCTTTCGCAAAACGTGGTGTAGTGAAACCGACTTCGGGCCCAAACCTGGCGGGCGCAAGCCTGGAATAATAGCGGCCACGGCGCCCTCTCGAAAACCGAAGACGGGCCATTCACGAATCGGCGTGTCACTGGTTGGGGGTTCTGTCCACCCCCGAAGCTGCAGCGGGCTGCCCGATGATCCGGAAGACATGCGCTGACACAGGCGTGCGCCTGCCCCGCGCAGCCGTGCGGCATGTGTGGAGCGCGGTGCGCCGAGCGCCGCCCAGGGAGCTCCAAGACTGGCAGCGAAGGTCGACGAGGTGGACCTGCAGTGCTACCCCATGCTCCATGCTGCACCGAGCTGCGTGGGGGGAGGGCGGGGCGCGGGCTTCCTTGAAGGGGCCCCAGGACACACAGACAAATACACACAAATAAAACTACTCCCCATATGTTCCCATATGTTCTGGGTTCTTGTCTTCCCCCCCACTTCCCGTATTTCCCTATATTTTCCTGGGAGTGGACGATTAATGGTGTCTGTGTGTTTTTTCTCCTCCTGATTCCTCCCTGGGACGGCCTGGACCAGCTCCCTGATGCTGGATCTGCAGCTGCGGCTGTCCCGTCGCCTGGGCTGCTGGGCCAGGGGAGGCCTCCGGCAGGCAAAGCTGCAGCCGCCCTGCAGGGTCACCCCCGCCCTGCGGTCGCTGCTGCTCTTTCTCGCGGGGGGGGGCGCCGGCTTGCCCTGGGGAGGGCCCTGTCTTCTGCCTGGCGTCTTCGAGTGCTAGCGCTCTGGCCTGAGATTCGGGACCTGTCTGCCGTGGGACTTCGCACGCACGAGCCTTCCTGGGACCCCCGAGGAACTCGCCCGAAGTGGTGGTGGTGGTCGTCGCCCAGGGGCGCGGGCGGCGTGCAGTTGCAACTGCTAGCTCTGCTCTCCCTGCCCCCAGCCCCGGCCCACAGGAGCCAGCCAGCCAGCCAGCCTCCCCCTTCTCCTGCTTCCGACCCGGGAGGGGCTCGAAGCGTACACCAAATCGCCTGGTCGACCAAGGGAGCTCGGGGTTCTAGAAGCCCCAGCTTCCCAATCTCTGGGATGCTGGAGCGTCCATACACCGAACTCCTTCGCCGAGCTCTCATTGGTCGGCCACGCGACGTGGTGTATGCCTCGAGGCCCTCCGACGACCCCGGGGCCTCTCTCGAGGCGAGTCCGGCCGTGTCGACGAGCGGCCCCCAGAGGCGGTCATCGAGGCAGGCGGGCGCCTCGTCCTCCTCCTCCCCGCCCTCCGCCCGGAAGCACGCAGAATGCGGTGGGGCAGGGGAGGGCTGCCCCCCCCGACAGCGGGGAGCGGGGGTACCGGGGCACGGGGGGCTCTCGGACGGGCCTGGTGGTCTTTGCGCAGGGGCGCCCCCCCCCCATCCACAGGGGAGGAGGCCACTTTCGGATTCGGCCCGTTTCGGCTCCGGGCCCGTTTCGGCTCCATCGGGGTCTTTCTCGACTTGTCGGCTCAAGGATTTCTTCTTCGATCTAAGAAGCACCCTGCCTTCCCAAAGGCCGCCTCTCTCTCTCTCTCGCGCCATCGCTTCCCTTCTGCTCCGCTGCCGACCCCCCCCCCCCGAGCGCGAGCGACCGATCCGCGACACCACGACCAGCGCCTGTCTTTGCAGGCCGCTGCGAGACCGAACACGCTCGGGTCGGACGGAAGGTGGGGACAACAACAGCGGGATTGGCAAATCAATTCGCGCAGCTGACTTTTCTGGCGACTCCTGGTGCCAGACTGCAGAGGCACAATCGTATCCAGGAAGCGGCGGGGCAGCAGTTTTTGCCCCCCCCCCCCCCCCCGTTCTGAATCCCCTCCTTTTCGCCCGACCCGACCCCGCCCGAGGCAATTCTCAGAGGCTGAAGCCGACGCGCGACGGCCGTGACAGGGTGCCACCAGCCGCCGAGGTGCCCTCGCCGTTGACGGTAAGGCACACCTCGTTCCCCTCGTTCCCCTCCTCCTCCTCGTCCGCTTGCTGTGCTGGTCTGACAACGGTAGCTGGTGCTTCCCGCCCTCGCACTGGAACGCGGGTAGCTTGCACCACTTGCACTTGAACGCCCCGAGCTTGCGGGCCTTGCGATAGAGCGTATGGAGCCCCAGCTGAGGCCTGAACTGGGGGGCCCCGACTCGGCGGCGGCCTCGCAGATTTACAGCAGCAGCAGTAGCAAGCGATGCAACCAGCTACGCCACAAATGCCACACGATATCAGAACGACGAGCCCTACGGCAACGGCGACACCCTCGTCGACAAGTGGCACGCCGCCGGTGGCGAAGTTGGTGGTGGTGGTGGTGGTGGTGGTAGCGGTGCCGGCGTCGGCAAGTGGCACGCCGACGGTGGTGGAGAATGTGCTCTCCGGCTGCAAGAAGCTCTGCAGGCTGACCGTGCCGGCGTCCACGCCAGCGCTCTCCGCGAGCTTCGCCGAGAGCGCATCCTCAAAGCTGCTGATCTCTTCTGCGTCGTTCCCCTGCGCAGCCTCGGCCTGGTCGGCGAGCTCCCGCAGGAGCTGCAGGGCATCCTTCGGGTGTTGCCAGAAGTGCCCCTGGCCCAAGGTGCCCCCAGCACTGCCAAGGAGGCCCCCACGGCCTCCAGAGCACGAATAGGTTTGCGGACCTAGCTCGGCTAGCAGACCGAGTTCAGACCTATGGATTCAATAGGCGAACGCGCCTGATGATTCTGAGTGCGATAGCTGTGCTTACCAGCTCTTTAGCTGCCCTACAGCTCGAGTTAAGTAGAAAATACTGGGGCACCTTTATAATAACCCCCGAATCCTCGGAGCCCTCGCTCGGGAGCCGGATGTCGTAGGCAACCGACCAGGTGCTGACTCCGCCGTTGGACGCGAGCCGCCGCCTGGCGATCGGGGAGGCTTCCGCTCGGACGCTCGACTCCCGCGCGCCGACGTACTCGGCGAGGGCCGCCACAACGGCAGCCTCGGCCTGCGCTTCCATCACGCCGCTGGCCTTACGCCACGAGATTGTACACACAGGCACCCTCCGACGAATTTTGCGTGTGCCGTCAGGAAGGGCAGCGGTGTATAACGCCGCTGGCTCTCAGCGGTGATTTATACATCACGACCCTCCCCTGCGGCCCAAGAAAAATCCATTGGACGGGGTCAATGCTGTCTTTTGTGGCGGAGGCCTGGAAGGACATGGAGCCGGCCACGCTCGCCCAGCTCGGCGACGCGACTCCCAGCAGGACTGGGTTCGCCGTGTACAGCCCGGCCCACACCGCCCACTCCTTCTGGCCGCCCCCGCACTCGCAGCACATCTCGCCGGCGGTGAAGTCGGCGTCGTCGTAATACCCGCAAAAGGTGCTCGGCGCGGCGGAGTACCCGTCCGCGCACGTGTAGCCCCCGACGTCCTCCGACGCCCCCTCGGCGGACGCGCACGCCTGCTGGCACACGCCGCAGTGTGGACACGCCTGTGCGGCGTACACCTCCTGGTCGGCGTCGCGGTCGACGGCGCAGAACGCGTGGTTCGGGCTCCCCAGCTCGTACGTGGCGCACCCGCCCCAGCCCGCGTCGAATGTCGCGGGATCGCCCGCGCAGGCCCCCTCGGCAGCCCCCCCTCCGCAGGCGCAGCACGCCTCCAGGGCAGACTGCCCGTCGACCGCCCAGTCGCCGAAGACGCCCCACGACGAGTCCCAGCTCGACCCGTAGCCGCCCTCGGGGGTGCACCAGTAGTACTCGGCGTAATCGCGGCAATCGAAGCCGCCAGCGTCCTTCCACGCCACCGCCAAGTCCATGCACGGCTCACCCCCGCCGCACGCCACGCAGGCCTCGCCTGCGGACACCCCCTGCCTCTGGTAGTCGTCGAAGGTTCCCTCCCTGATCCAGCCAGGCCCATAGCCGCCCTCGGGGGTGCACCACCGCTCGGCGGCGTAGTGGGCACAGCTGTACTTTGACGGCCGATCCGTCCAGTCCTTCGGCGCATCGCTGCGCGCGTGCGTGGCGAGCTGGATCGAGGCACACGCGCAGCACGCCTCGTTGGCCGTCATGCCGAAGTTCTCAAAGCGGTTGCCGTGCAACATACACCTGTCATCTTCGGCGTACCACGCGCAATTGAACTGAGCGCCGTGCTCGTCGTACCATTCCACCTGCCCGTCCGGAACGCGATCCTGGCAGTCCGTGGGCGTCGGCCCTGGCGCGGGTGTCGGTAACGTCAGGCAGAGAAGCCAGCCCCCCGCCACCACGCTTACATCCGAGGACCAGGTGATCTGGGCGGTGGGCACGACCCCGACGGGCCCCACGTCTCCAGTGTAGAAGATGCCGTCGACCTCCAGCACGTCATAGGGGTTCTCCGCCTGGAAGTTGACAACCTGGATAGCCATGGCGTTGCTGGCCGCGACACTGATTGTACATAGCTGGGAGTTGCTATACTGCTGGGGGTAGTTGGGGCTTGTCAGGCAACCGTTCCCGTTGACAGCGCAGTCGCCATATGCCACCGCCCATGCTTCTCCCCCTGGCGTGGGCGGTGCGGGCGTAGCCGATTGGCCAGGCGTCGGCGGCGGCGCGGGCGTTTGTGTCGCCAGGCACAGTACCCAGCCCTCCCCCTCCACGGCGAAGTCCGACGACCAGGTGATCTGGGCGGTGGGCACGACCCCGCCAGGCCCCTCGCCGCCAGTGTAATGAAGGCCATTCACTTCCAGAAAATCAAAATCCGACACCGTGCCGTAGGCACTGGTTCTATGTCCTCAGCTCCTTGGCGATCTGTACTTTTCAGTGTTGGAGGATTGGAATGCTCTGATGGGCCCCGAACCCCCGATACCCGTGCGCTCTCGGGCGCTCCACCCTTCGCCAAAATTGCCCGACGGGCCCGCCCATCTTGAAGCCGTCTCTTGGGGATCTTATGAGCCGTCTTGGGGGATCTTCAGACAGGGAAGGTTTGCACGTTCAAGTTTTGATTACCATCCACTGGAAACAATGACGCGGACAAGGACCACGCAGATGACGATGACGACGACCAAGACGCCGAGAATAATAAAGGCACTGCTGACTGTGACGTGAAAGCGGCGGCGCTGGAAATAATGATGATGCGGATGGCGGTCATTACGGGCAGTCGTAGCAAATCATAGTTTGTCGCCGACGGCGCCAATGACTGGATGAGAAGGGCGAACCCACCCTCTAAAATTCTAGGACGCCGCTGGGCCTGACAGGCGGAGTCGTAGGCTCCCAGGCAGGGGTGACTTCCGCACCGCTCACCTGCCAGAGTGAAGGGCCGAACGGTCTTACAGTGCACCTGGGTGCGTGGCTTGAGTGGGGATCCGCGGCGCGATACTCGATGTTGTTATGATTGAGACTTCATTTCTAAAGAGTAACTATTGTGAATCCCCCCCTCTGGTGCACAGTGCGCTGTTCAATTGAAATTCCCCCCCCCTGGGGCTCGCACATGTTTTTACCACGGAGGACCTAGGGTTTCCAAACTGGGACCCTGGCCCCAAGTCTAAATGAACAACGGCTCCCGCCTGATACGTCCTCGAATTGTGATGAGGAGTCGCGCGCTCGCCTGAGGCCTTTTCTCAAATTGCACAGGAATCGCGCTCTCGCGTGGGACTGCCTCGCAAAGTATTCAAACGCAGCTCCCTTGACACGCAGGAATCACGATCCCGCGCTGGACTTCATGACGATGTATGTGGGAGTCGCTCTGTCGCTGGAAACGCCCTCGCGATTCAAGCGAGACTGACGCTTCAACGACCGAACCACTTGAGCCAGACCCGCCTGTTGGGGTCCGCACGCCCAACCCGCCTGTCTGGCTCTGCCGCTGGGCATCCTGCTCCCAAACCCCCAATCCTGCTAATCTCTCTCGTGCTCCACCCTTCTCCCTCCCCCCTGCCCCTTCCCTGCTTCCTCCCTGCCCGCACCCCGTTCCTCCTCGCTAACTGATCTTTCCTGTCTCCCCCCTCTTCCTAATTTAGGGGCGGCGCCAACTACACGTGGCATTCGGGAAGATATACCCCGAGGGCGGCACGACCAAAGATGAAGATGGCGGGTGCCGATGGCTCGGGATCTACATGTTGAGTTCTCATGTCTGAAGAGTGGTTATTGTTGATCCCCCTCCGGCGCACCTTGTGTTCTGCAATTGAACTGCTCCTCTCGGTGCTCGCACTTTGTTTACATCTTGGGTCTCCAAGTCTGTCTTGTTGCCCCCCCCAGCTTACCACGACAAGAACATACATGTTAAGACTGTTCGCTCTGACCCTCACGCATGTCCATCAACATGTGTATCCCAAACCCTCGATACCAACGCTCTTCGTCTTCGAGCGTACCCTCGTTGGGGAATCTCATCCTTACCTCCCAGGCGTAGTTGGCTCGGCCCCTAGAGCAAGAGGGGGGGAAAGGGGAAAAGAAAAAAGAGCGAGGAAGAAAGGAATGGCGGAAGAAGGATGGAGGACGAATGGGACCAGCAAGAGGACAAGAAACGGAGCCAGGCGGACGGGTCGGGCGGGAGGGGCGGGCTGACCCCAACGAACGGGTCGGGCGCATGAAAGCAGCAACGACTGGCGACTGCGGGCCCCAGCGGGCAGGTCGGGCGGGCCCCGACGGGCGGGTCGGACGGGCCGGACGGGCGGGGCGTAAGGAAATCTGATTCGAGATCGCGGTTCCTGAGTGAACTGCGAGAAAGACCCTAGCGAGAGCGCCTCTCTTGGGTAAACTGCAAGGGCGTGTCGAGCGAGAGCGCGATTCCTTAATGAATTGCAAAAGACCACAATTAGCAAATCGTCAGGAATTCTTGGGCAAGGGCGTGATTACTGAGTGTCGAGGGCGCAGTGCCTTAATCAATTGGGAGGAAGTCCCACGCGAGAGCGCGATTCCTATGCAAGCTGTAAGAAAAAGTCTCGGGCAAGAGCGCGATTCTTGAATCAATTGTGAGGAAGTAGCAGGCGGGAGCCATTGTTACAATAGCTCGGGGGCCAGTGGCATAGTTTTGAGAGCCAACAAATTCCTTTTAAAAATGAAAGGGCGAGCTCCGGGAGGGGCACTTTTTTCCAAAATCGTAAGCACCATCGATTTTTGCTCAAATATGAAAATTCAACAACAGCTCTCGCCATGAGCCTCCTCGCAATGCATGAAAGAATCGCACTCTCGCTCGGGAATTCCTGGCAACTCACCCAGCAATCGCGCTCTCACCTGGGACTTCGCTCAAGCTCCAAACGTGCGCCCCTGGCGCTTGGAGCTTGCATGCAGCCGAGGGAGCGGCTCCAAGCCCCCGTGCATTCAGGTGATTCTGGCGTGCGCCTTCCGCCCGTGCCTGCGCCACTGCCTCTTTCAGTCTCTGCGCCATGACCTCTCGGCGGCGGCAGCGATATGCGTCATGGCGGATGGGGGCGTCCTGGTCTGGCGCTTGGGCTGGCATAGTTTTGAGAGCCAACAAATTCCTTTTAAAAATGAAAGGGCGAGCTCCAGGAGGGGCACTTTTTCCCCAAAACATAAGCACCATCGATTTTTGCTCAAATATGAAAATTCAACAACGGCTCTCGCCATGAGCCTCCTCGCAATGCATGAAAGAATCGCACTCTCGCTCGGGAATTCCTGGCAACTCACCCAGCAATCGCGCTCTCACCTGGGACTTCGCTCAAGCTCCAAACGTGCGCCCCTGGCGCTTGGAGCTCGCATGCAGCCGAGGGAGCGGCTCCAAGCCCCCGTGCATTCAGGTGATTCTGGCGTGCGCCTTCCGCCCGTGCCTGCGCCACTGCCTCTTTCAGTCTCTGCGCCATGACCTCTCGGCGGCGGCAGCGATATGCGTCATGGCGGATGGGGGCGTCCTGGTCTGGCGCTTGGGCTGGCATAGTTTTGAGAGCCAACAAATTCCTTTTAAAAATGAAAGGGCGAGCTCCGGGAGGGGCACTTTTTCCCAAAAACATAAGCAACATCGATTTTTGCTCAAATATGAAAATTCAACAACAGCTCTCGCCATGAGCCTCCTCGCAATGCATGAAAGAATCGCACTCTCGCTCGGGAATTCCGGGCAACTCACCCAGCAATCGCGCTCTCACCTGGGACTTCGCTCAAGCTCCAAACGTGCGCCCCTGGCGCTTGGAGCTCGCATGCAGCCGAGGGAGCGGCTCCAAGCCCCCGTGCATTCAGGTGATTCCGGCGTGCGCCTTCCGCCCGTGCCTGCGCCACTGCCTCTTTCAGTCTCTGCGCCATGACCTCTCGGCGGCGGCAGCGATATGCGTCATGGCGGATGGGGGCGTCCTGGTCTGGCGCTTGGGCTGGCATAGTTTTGAGAGCCAACAAATTCCTTTTAAAAATGAAAGGGCGAGCTCCGGGAGGGGCACTTTTTCCCAAAAGCATAAGCAACATCGATTTTTGCTCAAATATGAAAATTCAACAACAGCTCTCGCCATGAGCCTCCTCGCAATGCATGAAAGAATCGCACTCTCGCTCGGGAATTCCTGGCAACTCACCCAGCAATCGCGCTCTCACCTGGGACTTCGCTCAAGCTCCAAACGTGCGCCCCTGGCGCTTGGAGCTCGCATGCAGCCGAGGGAGCGGCTCCAAGCCCCCGTGCATTCAGGTGATTCTGGCGTGCGCCTTCCGCCCGTGCCTGCGCCACTGCCTCTTTCAGTCTCTGCGCCATGACCTCTCGGCGGCGGCAGCGATATGCGTCATGGCGGATGGGGGCGTCCTGGTCTGGCGCTTGGGCTGGCATAGTTTTGAGAGCCAACAAATTCCTTTTAAAAATGAAAGGGCGAGCTCCGGGAGGGGCACTTTTTCCCAAAATCGTAAGCACCATCGATTTTTGCTCAAATATGAAAATTCAACAACAGCTCTCGCCATGAGCCTCCTCGCAATGCATGAAAGAATCGCACTCTCGCTCGGGAATTCCTGGCAACTCACCCAGCAATCGCGCTCTCACCTGGGACTTCGCTCAAGCTCCAAACGTGCGCCCCTGGCGCTTGGAGCTCGCATGCAGCCGAGGGAGCGGCTCCAAGCCCCCGTGCATTCAGGTGATTCTGGCGTGCGCCTTCCGCCCGTGCCTGCGCCACTGCCTCTTTCAGTCTCTGCGCCATGACCTCTCGGCGGCGGCAGCGATATGCGTCATGGCGGATGGGGGCGTCCTGGTCTGGCGCTTGGGCTGGCATAGTTTTGAGAGCCAACAAATTCCTTTTAAAAATGAAAGGGCGAGCTCCGGGAGGGGCACTTTTTCCCAAAAACATAAGCAACATCGATTTTTGCTCAAATATGAAAATTCAACAACAGCTCTCGCCATGAGCCTCCTCGCAATGCATGAAAGAATCGCACTCTCGCTCGGGAATTCCTGGCAACTCACCCAGCAATCGCGCTCTCACCTGGGACTTCGCTCAAGCTGCAAACGTGCGCCCCTGGCGCTTGGAGCTCGCATGCAGCCGAGGGAGCGGCTCCAAGCCCCCGTGCATTCAGGTGATTCTGGCGTGCGCCTTCCGCCCGTGCCTGCGCCACTGCCTCTTTCAGTCTCTGCGCCATGACCTCTCGGCGGCGGCAGCGATATGCGTCATGGCGGATGGGGGCGTCCTGGTCTGGCGCTTGGGCTGGCATAGTTTTGAGAGCCAACAAATTCCTTTTAAAAATGAAAGGGCGAGCTCCGGGAGGGGCACTTTTTCCCAAAAACATAAGCAACATCGATTTTTGCTCAAATATGAAAACTCAACAACAGCTCTCGCCATGAGCCTCCTCGCAATGCATGAAAGAATCGCACTCTCGCTCGGGAATTCCTGGCAACTCACCCAGCAATCGCGCTCTCACCTGGGACTTCGCTCAAGCTGCAAACGTGCGCCCCTGGCGCTTGGCGCTTGCATGCAGCCGAGGGAGCGGCTCCAAGCCCCCGTGCATTCAGGTGATTCTGGCGTGCGCCTTCCGCCCGTGCCTGCGCCACTGCCTCTTTCAGTCTCTGCGCCATGACCTCTCGGCGGTGGCAGCGATATGCGTCATGGCGGATGAGGGCGTCCTGGTCTGGCGCTTGGGCTGGCGAATTGGCGCGAGCATGACGCGCGCAGCGCTTGCCCGCATTGGGAGTTCGAGGTCTACGGCAACACGTGCTGCACGCGGTGTGGCGGCACAGATCTGTCCCTGCTTCTTGCTGGCGCCAAGGCTGATGCTGGTGGAGGTGGCCAACGAGCTGGTGCTCAGCAGGGCACTCACCATGCTCGCCCTGATCAAGAAGCCTTTCGTGATGCCGCTTGCCGGTGCTGGCACAGCCTAATCTGCGAGGCGGGCTCGCGGCCCACGTGCAGGCCCCACCGCCTGCTGAGCTCCCCTGGACCTCTTTCCAGTTGGCGAGCGCGGCCAATGCTGCGCGCACTCGCCTCTGCCGCGTCGTCGAGGACGCGGCGAGGGCCGTGCGCCTGGCCGCCCAGGACCTGCAGCAGAGGAAGACCAAGGTCCAGAAGCTGGGGAAGCAGATCATGGAAGCCCGCACGTCCTTGGAGGCCGCTCATGATGCTGCGCGCGAGGCCGAACGTCACACACGGCAAGCGGATGACGAGGCTTCGCAGTTCAATGAGGATGCTTGGGTGGAGAAGCAGAAGAAACGACAACAGATCGCCGAACGGGTGCCCCCCGAGGCCCCCGAGGAGTCGCCCGAGACGTCCCCGGGGAGGCCCCGACCACCCAGCCTCCCTGGCAGTCCCCAGGGCGCAGGCCCCCAAAGAGGCCCCCCAGGGGGGGCCGGCGAGGGGCCCCGAATGGGGCCTCCGAGACGCCTCCGAGGCACTCCGCGAAGAGGGCTCCCGAGAGAGGCCCACGTCTCGGGAGCCCAGAGCACTCCCAGCTGTGGTCCAAGGGGCCCTCCATGGGAAGCTCTCTCCAGAGCATGGCTGGGAGCACGCTGTGGCATGCATTGAGTTCCACGCATCCTCGTTGGCACGTGCCCAGTGTCTGACGTGACTCCTCGCGTTCTCGGGCGTACCAGTTGCGTGGCACCCTTCCTCGCATCATCGCGGGCTGAAGATAGACCAAGCCACGCGCGTCCTTGCCCCCCGCCTCATGCACGACAGACGAGCACGAAAGACTGGCACTGCAGAATGACTTCGACGATTCCCACGTCGCCCTTAACCCACACTCCACGCACTGTGGCGGACTAGGCCGGAGGCCACGAGATAATCCTCCACCTGGAAATCGACAACCTGGATGGCCATGGAGTTGCTGGCCGCCAGAATGACAGTGCATGCCTGGTCACTGATGTACGTGAGGGGATAGTTGGGGCTTGTCAGGCACCCGTCGCCGTTGATGACGCAGTCGCCGGATGCCACCGCCCACGCTTCCCCTTCTGGCACGAGAGGCGCGGGCGTAGGCGGTGGGTAAGCTGGCGCAGCGCTGTCCAGGTACTCGGCGATCCACTCCTTCGCTTGGGTCACGCGGGCCCACACTCCGGGAAAGTCCGCGTCGGCGCAGCCGTAGCCCCACGAGGTGACGCCGTGGATCTCGAAGTAGCCCTGGCCGTTCTCACAGACCAGCGGGCCGCCGCTGTCGCCCTGGCACGCGTCCGAGGGCTCGCCGTTCAAGACCCCCTGGGCACACAGCATGTTGTCCGTGATGTCCACGAACGGATATCGGGTGGCGCAGTCCTCGTTGCTCAGCGTCGTCACCTCCGCCTCCCGCAGCGTGTCCGACACGGGGCCGCCCTCCTCCAGCGTGCCCCACCCCGAGATGTAGCACACGGAGTCGGCTGCCAGCTCTGCCTCGGGCAGGCAGACGGTCCCCAGGCAGTCTCCAAGGCTCGCCTCCGCCGCCAGCTCCACGAGCGCGAAGTCCATGTCGAGAGAGGCCTCGTCGTACAGCGGATGCGGGATCACTCTGGCCACCTGCAGGACGACCGGCTCGGCGCCGTCGCCGTCCGACGTGAGGTCGAACTCGCCTGCGAGGACGGCGAAGTTGAGGTTGTCGACGCAGTGTGCGGCCGTGAGCACCCACCTGAGCGACGAAAGTAGCCTGGCGAAGGACCCAACCATATGCATGTGCGAGTAACGTAGGATATCACATTCTCATCATAGGCAGCGCGCCACGAGAGGGATGGAACACGGGGCAACGCGGATGGGAACCCCGAAACGTGTGCGGGGTGTGTCGAAGTGGGCTGGGGACGCATGCGGGCGCTACCACTGGGGCCTTCGGCGGAGCTCCCGATGGGCAACGACACATGTGAGGGGTGCCTATTTTTCAGAGGAAAGCATAAGAACCCTGCCACTGGGGCCTTCGGTGGAGCTCCTCATGGGGCCACGGAACGAGTGAGGGGTGTGCCGCAATGGAGGCGGGGCCGCCATGCGAACCCTGCCACTGGGGCCTTCGGTGGAGCTCCCTATGGGGCCACGAAACGTGTGAGGGGTGTGCCGCAATGGAGGCGGGGCCGCCATGCGAACCCTGACACTAGGGCCTTCGCTGGAGCTCCCTATGGGGCCACGGAACGTGTGAGGGGTGCGCCGCAAGGGAGGCGGGGCCGCCATGCGAACCCCGCCACTGGGGCCTTCGGTGGAGTTCCCTATGGGGCCACGGAACGTGTGAGGGGTGTGCCGCAACGGAGGCGGGGCCGCCATGGACCTTCGGTGGAGCTCCCTATGAGGCCACGAAACGTGTGAGGGGTGTGCCGCAATGGAGGCGGGGCCCCCATGCGAACCCCGCCACTGGGGCCTTCGCTGGAGCTCCCTATGGGGCCACGGAACGTGTGAGGGGTGCGCTGCAAGGGAGGCGGGGCCGCCATGCGAACCCTGCCACTGGGGCCTTCGGTGGAGCTCCCTATGGGGCCACGAAACGTGTGAGGGGTGTGCCGCAATGGAAGCGGGGCCGCCATGCGAACCCTGCCACTGGGGCCTTCGGTGGAGTTCCCTATGGGGCCACGGAACGTGTGAGGGGTGTGCCGACATGGGGCGGGGCCGCCATGCGAACCCTGCAACTGGGGCCTTCGGTGGAGCTCCCTATGGGGCCACGAAACGTGTGAGGGGTGTGCCGAAACAGAAACATGCCCAGGGCAGAGGCACAGAGGCGGAGGAGGGAGGGGGGGGAGGAGGAGAGGAGAGGAGAGGCGAGGAGAGGCGAGGAGAGGAGGAACGCTGGGCGCTGTCGCCTCAAAACGAGGACCCAACACCTCAGGACGGTTGGGGAAAAAAACTGGTCTAACGCAAATGGCATGACGACCTTACGCCGCGGCGTACGCGGGCCGCCAGCGCGGCACGCCACATTAGAAACGAGGGCGCTTACGCTCGACCTCGCGCGGGACTCTTACGCGCCAACGTCGGTGAAGACAAACCCGTTGTTCTGCGCCGCTCACCTTGCGTCGATGAGCGTTCCTCCGCAGAACGCCTGCGACCCCCAGCCTGAGGTCTTGAGGGCCACCTGCCAGTTCCACTCGCACGCCGAAGCATCCTGGCCGTTGACGACGCGCCCGCTCACCCACGGGGTCGTATCTGCCCCCCGGACTCCGCACTGCGATGGTGGCGTTGGAGGCGCTGGCGTGGGCACAGAGGTGGGCGCCAGGGATCCAGCCTGGTCGTGAGATGCCGGGCACAACTGCCAACCTCCCAACATAATCGAGTAGTCGGAGGTCCACGTGATAGTGGCGCTGGGCACGACACCTGCAGGCCCCGTTTGCCCACTGTACCCGTGGCCGTTGACGGTCAGTATGTCGTAGCCGACCTCTGTCTCGAAGTCCAGCACAACAATCTGTTCGGCCAGCTCCGCATTGACAGCAATGGAACAACCCTGGTCTGCGCCATAGACGCTTGGATAGTTCGGGCTGCGCACGCAAAACTCCACGACCGTACAGCCGCCGCTGGTCACCATGAACATCTGGCCTTCGGGGAAGTCACCCAGAGTAGGCGACGGCGTGGGCGTCGCCGTGAGCTCTTCACCACCGTCGAGGTAGCTCTGGATCCAGTCCAGTTCGGCAGTCACGCGGGCCCAGACGCCTGGATAGTGCACAGACGCACATCCGTACCCCCACGAAGTCGCGCCGTGGACGTACCACTTGCCGCCGCTCTCGCAGACCAGCGGGCCGCCGCTGTCGCCCTGGCACGCGTCGACGACGCTGCCGCCACTCGCGCCCTGCGCGCACAGCATGCTGTCCGTGATCGTGCCGAAGCCGTACTTCAGCCTGCACTCCGCGGTGCTGACGATGCCAACCTCGGCCTCCTGCAACCTGTTCGGCTGGACGCCGCCCTCCGAGAGCGTGCCCCAGCCTGTGATGTAGCAGGCCTCCCCGCCGGACAGCTCCATATCGTCCGACGGCAGGCAGGCGGTCCCGACGCAGTCGTCCAACGAAGCCGTCTTGGAGAGCTCGATCAGGGCGAAATCGTTGGCGAACGATACACTATCGTAGTCCGGGTGAATCACGACCCGCTTCACCGGAATCTCCTGCTCGTTGCGGTCGCCTGCCTGGACGTGGTTGAAGTCCCCGAGCATGATGTCGAAGCTGCTGCCGTCATCGACGCAGTGGGCCGCGCTGAGGACCCAGGAATCGCTGATAAGCGTGCCTCCGCACCAGCAGCCGCGCGAGCCCGGAGTCTTGAGGCAGGCCTGCCACTTCCACTCGCACTGCGTGGCCGTCTGCGGGAGGACACCAAGTGTCCGCCTACACTTGCATTTTTGGTTGCCCTTCTGAGGCCCGAATCTTGGAAATGCTACAAAATGTCAACAAAATGTCTTTGTGGTGTTCTGGGAGAGACATGTGCAAAAACAATTTATTATCTTTAAAAATTGTTTTCGCGACCCAGAGAAATTCCAATGGAGAAACAATTGGTTAGATTTAAAAGTTGGTTTCGCAACCAAGGGAACAGGTTCTATCTGCGCAACAGCGAAAAGCGCGCCAGTTGCGCTGTGATGGGCAGGGGGCGCGCGCCAGCGAGGTCGCGCACTTGCTAAGGTCCTGACCGCCCTAGTTCGGACGCGCAGCTCCAATCATCTCAAGCAGCGGCGCGCCATTCGAGCCGCGGCGGCCACCCCTCCTGGCTTCGCGCGCCCCATAGGTTCCCAGTGCCCACAGGTGGCCTCGTGATGGCCCGAGACGCCTCGGGCCCAGCAGGGGGGGGGCCGCATGCGGCCGCACGCCCACTCTGGCACACCCCGCACACGTTCCGAGGCCCCGTTCGGAGCTCCACGGAAAGCCCCTCTGGGAATGGCCGCATGCCGCCGCCAGCCTATTTTGGCACACCCTCTCAACGCATCGTGGCACCGCAGGGAGCCCCGCCGAAAGCCCCCGACGGACCCCCGCGACTAGCGCGACAGGGGCGGACCACGGGTGCCAGAACGCCCTACAGCCTCTTTGGGAACCGCCCGTGCAAGGACGACGCCAGTTCGCTTGCGAACTGGGTATGAACTGGCTGGCGGCGTCGCGCGCAGCGCTGATGGTATCACGAGCCATTCAACTAACCCCACATGGACGTTGAACGCGGTTGGTCTGCCGTGTTCTGCCTCCAGAAGCCACTCGTCAACTTCGGGGAGCCCCCCCTACCCCATCCCCTTATCACGCCGAAATGTTTTTGGACGCGGCTGCCGCGCGGTTTGCCGCTTACAAGATGGCCAAGCATGGGTCCAATCTGGCCCCCCCGATGACCCGAGACGGCGTTCAGGGAGGGTGGAGATGACCAAAGTTGGTCCACTACATCGGCCAACGCGCCGTCGAACAGCCCCAACAAGGAAACGGGACGGCATCGAGTGCGCTCGAAATTCACGCGGGACCCCCCCCCCAAGACCCACGCATCTTGCGAAGACGCAGTAGTTCTGCATGCGTTGTCTTACCACCATCACCGCCATATCGCGCCTGACGGGCCCGCGGGCCGCAAGAGAGCCCAAAGGCGGCCCATGACAGCCCCAATGGGGGGCAGGCCGCGCCCGAGGCGACCCCACTAATGCAGGAGAAGGCCCCTAGTGGGCCCCGAGAAACGGCACTGATGACACCAGGAGCTGCGGGCGACAACTACGGACCGCAACCTGTGATCACGCCCTTCTTGCTATCTGTCGCCCCTAGGGCGGCACTGATAGCCCGCGGACCCCTCAGGTGACTTCTAGGGATCCAGGGGGGGAGGCAAGCAGATCACCCAAACAGGGCTCCAGGAGATCCCAGGAGAAACTCCAGAGAACCCCTGGGGGGACAATAGGGGGCACAAGTGGCGTCGCGAGAATGCCCACAGAGAGCCAGAGGGGGGGGCGCCAAGAGGGCCCGATAAGACTCCGACATGGCAACGAGGGGCTCCTGCAACAAGCGGTTCGCGCATGCATCACCATCCACCTCGTCCTAGATAGACCTTTGAATTAGTGCCTACATCATCCCCCCTTGCCACATCACCCTCATCCTGCATCCTCGTGCATGCTATTCCTCGCCCTCGTCGTCCGCCTCATGCTCGCGGTCGCGGCCCGCCTCAGCATTGCACTCGTCCTCGCCCCCAATGCGCCGCTCACCCAGTACCCCCTAGTGCGCGCCCCAGGGGTTCACCCGAAGGGCGCTCCTGCGCCACCGATTGCTCCCGAAGCGGTGTCGGCTCACCCTGGCTGGCTGCTCTGTTTCACTAGATGCGCCTCGCCCTGTCACCCCCCTCGGCACTCGTAGCACTCACATCTGGATGGGCTGGCGGCGGCCCGCGACACGCAATGGATAGACGTCCAAATATACTGCGCGGAAGCGCAGCGCGGCACCTGACAGGGAGGGGACATCGGCACCCTCGACGCGAACGTCGACGCGAGTGCAGCCGCGAAGGGGCTGCACGACACTGACCCAGAGCTGGGGGCGACTTGCGGAATGGCCGAAAGGCCTCCACGAATCAAGAAATGAATGTCCGACGCTGCAACCGAACGAACGCACGCAAAGCAAACCCACTGTGCCCCAGGGACCCATTCCGCCGACTCCCGAACTCGGCGGTGCCCAGGCCAACGCGGCCTCGGGCGGAACGCGCAGCTGCACGCTCACGATACCACCTCCGAACGGAGGCCCTTGCGGAACACGCCCGTGAGCACGGCACCCAACACCTTGCTGGGGGTGACGCCGTGCTTGCCCATGCTCTTCTGGGCGTCCACCAAGCTCGAGCGGACCTTCGCCGTGTCAGTGTTCGACACTCCGTGCCACGCCCTGGCGACTCTCCCGCGGAACATCACCACGTAGGCGAGGTCTGCGATGCCCTGCGCAGTGGTGATGGCATCCTTCTGGGCATCGTAGCTCATGTACTCCTTTGCCTTCCCCTCCAGCTCGGAGGTCGCCTTGCGGCGGGAGCCGAAAGAGAGCGGGTGGATACGTGCAAGGCTTCAGGGTTCGGTTGGGGAGCGATGATGGCAATGACGATGCCGACGGCGACGACGAGGATAATGACGACGACGATGGCGACGATGGAGATGCAGATGAGGATGATGGGAGTGGCGAGGGTGGGGACGGGCACGGTGACGAGGATGAGGATGCGATCTGGGGGTGGGCGCAGGCAGACGGGCAGAGCTGGCACATAAGGGATAGGTGGAAGACTAGGGACTAGGGGGACTGAGAAGGGAAACTATGGAGAGGGCGTTGTGGGATGGCGGCGCGCACACACGCTCGTGCGCGAATGTTGCGCCCACCGCCGTCGCCTTCACGAGGGATGTGATTGCCTTGTCCATGTCGTCAAACTGGTAGGCCGAGATGGTGGCGTTGAACGCCTTCATGACGCTCTTGAGGTCGAGCGCATGCTCGAGCTCCGTCAGGAACTGCTCTGCCTCGGCCGACTTGGAGAGGGTCACGACTGTGTTACCGAGGAGGCCGATGTTCGAGTTCAGTATCTCCAAGTGCTTCGCCATCATCGAGGTGCGGGTCTCGTCGTGCTTGTTGCGCCACAGCTTCGCCTCACCTTGCAGGGTTGCCAATACAAGGTCATCATCGGCCTTGACCACTGTCACCGTGTCGAACATCTTGATGGCGCGGCTCAGCGTCGACAGCTTCTTATCGAAGTCGGCCTGGTGGATGATCGCCTCCAAACCGTCCTCGGGGTTGCCCATCGCCGACGCCGCGTTGCGCAAGTCGGACATGCGCTCCAGCAGCTTCGCGGCGCCTGCTGCCCAGTCGGAGCGCGGCGGACTCACGTGCCCCGCCGCCTCCTTAGCAAGCGCCGCAAGGTTCTTCACATCAGCCAGCACTGTGTCGAACGGCTTCCTGATGATCGTGTCGATGATGCTCGCGGCCTCGTCGCTAATCTTGTTGGCGTCATCGCCGCCGCCCCCCGATGCCTTCGTCATGCGCAGGAGGTTGCTCCGAACGTCCTCGGACGAACACTCGCCAGTCTTGAACATCTCGATGGAGGCAGACGCCTTCTTGGCCGACGCCTGCACCGCCAACGACGACTTCGCACGTAGGATGACCTCCCTCGCCGCAGCGACCTTGTCCTCCAAAGGCATGACCCTGGAGATGCACTGCCCGAGCTCCACGTACTTATCGATGACCGTCGTCGCCATCGGGATGTCCTCAACGCCCGCCCCAGTCGGCAAGGCGTTCACGTGAGAGGTAAATTTTGCCAATATTGCCGATGAGAGCTTCTCCACTGGCTCCGTCCCAATCTCCTTCTCGAACCATTCCAGCTTCGTTGCAGCTTCGGCCAGGCCCTCCGACGCCTCCACTGTGGGCTGATCGCCGATCACCTCCAGCGCCTGGGGGACCTTCGTGATATCGGGGTAGAAGTGCTTGCATACCTTCGCGGTCTTGCGCAAGCTGGCCACCTTGTGCTGCCACAGCGTGCTGTCGTCGGCCGCCCTGGCCACCACGGTCCAGATGTCACTGCCGCCACCACTCGCCTGGGAAACCACGAATAACTCGATGTCGTCAAACACGTGCGCGGGCGTGGACTCGGGAATCCTGATGTCGTTCATCAGGGCCAGCACGGCGAAGATGCGTTCGCAATCGCTGAGGGCCTTGGCGCACGCGGGGCCGATCTCGCAATCCTCGACCTCCTCTGGCAACCGCAGAAGCGGTGGCGCGTTCTCGGCAACGAAGAAGACGGCCTCCGACGCGGACCCCCCATGACGGAGCCACTGCGCGACGTTGTTCAGAAGCACCTCTGTCAGGAAGTAGCCCGCCCTCTCCGCGTCAGTCATGGTAGAGGTCCGAATCGTCAGCGCGTGGATGTCCATGCAGCGGGAGTCCCCCACGGTGGTCCACACCTAAGGGGAGGATGGGGGGCGCGGCAGCGGCAGCGGGCCAGGGCGGACACGACGGTCGACGGCGAAAGGGCCGCTGACGACGAGCGGGAGGATATGTTAGAGGGCAGTTGAGGGGGATGGGGCGATGCGGGAGGCAGGGGAGTTGGGGGGGCAAGGGAGACGACGAAGCAGAGGGGTTGTAGGATGGCGGAGTGCGACGCGGACGAGTCATCGGACGGGGGTGGAGGAAAGGGTGAGCGCGCTGAGATAGGGCGACGTACGATGGACAGGGAAACGCGCGACATGCGATGGGGGAGCGGAGGTGACAGCTGGGCCGAGGGTCGGCGAAGAACAAATGAAACATACTGTGGTTCGGGACGGTGGCTCGGGGACGGGGCCACGAGCGAGGGAAGGTGGAATGGAGGGCGATGGAGGCGAGGACGAATGCAAAGGGCGGCGCTGAGGGGTGGGCTGGCTCAGATTAAAAAGCCAGAACCTTGAGCATGTCGCATAGCTTCATCAAGGCCGACTGGTGGCCCTCCATCTTCAGCACGTTCTCCCAGAGGGGCTTGGTATCGAAGTTGATGAGGTACATCTGGGTGAAGGACGGCCACGCGTCGATGGCTGGCGACACAAGTTCCAGGACCTCCCGCTTGCGCTCGCGCTTCATGCGCTCAAGATTGGATGGCCAGAGCTCGGAGCACGTCCTGATCAAGTTCATGTGCCGCGAAGCGTTGTCACGCTGCAGCGGCGGGGCCTCCTTGGACTTCTCGATGAGCCCGAGCTGGTTCAGCTCCCTCTTGCACTCGGCCCCGAGCAGCACGTCAGCCAGCGGGGACCGATCGATCCAATGCTTGGCGGTCCCGAGGGGGCTCAATGAATCCGACTGCGGCCTCTTAGGGGGGATCACTACGGAAGGCATGCCGAGGAATATCTCGTGGTTGTTGCCCATAGCATCGACATCAACAACGTTGTCTCCCAGACCATCGGCCGCGGCGCTCTCGTCGGTCATGACCCCGTCCTTGATGGCCAAGCGCCCACCGACGGCCCTGCTGAGCTCGTCGTCGGCCTTGGCATCCGCCTGCCCTGGCCCTGAGGGGTCGGACTGCTTAGCTGGCTTAGTCGGGGTCTCCTGCTTGCCGATGTGCTCGTCCAAGGTCGTCAAGAAGCGGGACAGCGACCCCGCGCCAGTGGGGCCAATCACTTTCTTCACGAAGCTCTTGAAAGCGATCGAACAATGGCCCCTGAACTTCTCGATCATGCCCGTCTTAGTCTTCTTAACCGTGGCCGTCGCCGAAACCTTCGAGAATACCGTCAGACGTGGCCGAGGGCGTCCAGGCAATGGAAAGGCGAATCGCAGCTCCAGTTTCCCGTCCGTCGGGGAGCGCCTCTTGATCACCTTCGCCTTCGCCGCCTCGGGGCTCTTGTTGGCCAGGGTCTGGAACTCGGTGCGGGTCAAGAGCTCGAACGACTCCTCGATGAGGTACCCGACCTCCTCGCCCGACGAGAGCTCCAGCGGCATGCCGACCTCGTCGCACATAGCCTCGGCCCCGTCGCCATCGGGCACGTCGAAGCCCAGCGAGCGCATCACGTCATTGCGCCTCGCCTCGTCTGAATTCAGCTCAACTACTACCTCCCGCACGTCGCAGTCGGGCACCTCCTCCTGCACCCAGTCATAGCAGCGCTTGCACATCCACAGGGCCTCGACTGGATCCTTGGCGGAGTCGGCCGCGGGGGAGACGACGCCGAACTGGTGCTCGTGCTCCTGCTGGCCCCGCCCACCCCCGAAGCTGCGGGCGACGAGACAGGAACTGGTGACCGAACCCTCCTAGCATCCACATCCCAACATTCTGATGGCGGGGGGGGGGGGGGCTAGCTAGAGGCCGCCACGGGGCCCAGGGGGGTATCAGCAGCTTTCAAAGCACTGCCGCTGTCTAAACAACGCCCCGTGCAAACTACTGGGGATGGGGGCTCGGGTATACCCAATGATTTCAATCCGCAGGTGTCCTTATTGATGGACCTGCACAGGCCGCACTTCCGCGTAGAAGCCCTCGACTTCCTCTCGCGAACGGGCTCCCACTCGACCTTGAAGGCCCCATCCTCGTCGGCGCCCTTGGCGAACGACTTGCACTTCTTCGGGCTCGACCCCGAGGCCTTGGCTGGGATCCGCTTGCGGGTGTCGCTCTTCTCGGCCATCGCGAGCAAAATGCCCGCCAAATACGCAGGAGGGGATTGGTTGGTCTACCGCAAGGCCCCGCTGGGGAGAACGTGAAAAAACGGAAGAGGGCGACGTGCGGAGGTGGGAAGGGCAAGGGGAGAGGGAGGAGGGGGCAGGGAGGATGGAGGACGGAGGACGGCGGAGGGAGCTTGGAGGGGGGAGGAGGGAGACAAGGGCGAAGGAAGAGGGGTTGGGAATCAGGGCAGGGAGATATGGAGTGACGACGACGGACAGGGACACGAGCGAGGCCGCTCTGGGCGGTATTGGGGGCTGGGGGCGGGTGGCATGAGGGGGGCTGGGGAAACGCAGCGGTAAGCCAACCAATGGCGGCCGCCTAGCGAACACCAGACTCGTCAGCAAAGGCGGTTGGTGGGTTTGCGCCACGCGGCTATCCACGGGCGGAAGGAGGCTCCGCATCGATTCGGTCGGGGTTCCGATGCCAAGGGCAACCCTGAACCTGGGGCGGGCACCCGTTCGGGAAGGGCCCGCACGGCCCTGAAATTGCACGAAGGCCGCGACGGGCCGACCCTCCCACCACCCGCTGGTTTCACATCAACAGGGTCACTGCCTCAAACTTACCATGGGGCGGCGATTGCGAACAGCCTATGAAGCACGTCTTCGGGGAGGCCACACAAACTCGCGCTCCTACGTGGGAAACTCGTTTCGGCATCGGCCTCTCCCCACGCCCATCCTCCTTATCACGCGTTGGGTTCCCCTGGGTATTGCAGAGCCTTGACGCCTCGCACGGGCCTCGGTTGATGTGCACCCCCCTGTGCCGAAGTATATGGTATGGCGGTATGATGCTGATGGGTACTGATGGTTATTGATGGCTGTTATTGATAGCTACTGATGCTTACAGCTGGCGCCCTTGGGCGGGCTTCTCTTGGAGACGAGTGATGATGGTTCCACGTGGCGAGCTGCCCAACGAAACAGTCGAGCGGACATCCGACACATATATCTGGATATAACGGGCGCGCTCTACGATGCACACCTCAAGAAAACGCGAACGAATGTGGCAATGCGCCCAGGGCGCGCGCAAGCTCTAGGGCAGTAGCGCGGATACGCACAAAGCAATCAATATGCGTGACCGCATGCATTCACAGTCAAAGTTTCACCACACATACGTCACGCATATGCGACTCATGATTCCACAGGGTGGCGTCGTCACTATCATGCCTAATCACTATCGCTCTCGCTCACTTCGGAGTTCCACATCTGTTCCACTTTGACTGTGATGCCTAATCGCTATCGCCTCAGGACAGATGGTATGCCTAATCACTCTCGGTCTCTTCGGGGTCCCAAGACTCTTCCACTTTGAATGTGACGGAAAACCTGCGCTTCCGATTCAAGAAGTTCGTCGATGGGTAGCCCTCTCCTAGCGGTTGCGAGATCTGCGTCACCATCGTATGGAACGCATCGGACGCGATGATCTTCGGCATGGCCTCCATGGAATCGTACTCGAACGTCTGCTCGAAGACCCTCCTGCGACGCGGGTTCGATGTTGCGGCTGATGCAGCTGTTGGTGCGGTTGGTGCAGCTGCCTCCGTTGCCTCTTCTGCTGGTGCGCTGTGGCTATCGTAGTCGGGCGGCGGCATTGGTGGCGTACCTGGCAGCGCCTGCTGAGGCTGCTGAGGTGCGGGCGAGGCCGATGGCGGGGGCACGTATGGAGTTTCGTCATCGGCTTGGGGCACTGGGACCGAATCCTCCACCTCCACGACGATGGGCAGGGGGCGGGCCGAATACTCTGACGGTCCATCCTGCGGCAACTCGGGGGGTGCGTGCCGCCTCTCCGACGCGCTCCTCTGCCTAGGTGGCCCGAAGCCCGAGTTCCCAGTTTCAGGGGGCGGCTCGAATGGAAGCGAACTCATCCGTGGATTCCGCACTCAGGCGCGGAACGAAACGAAAAAGGGACCAGCGATCGGCTCGAGTCAACGCGGCTACGGAGGGGTCGAGGGCGACGGAGCGACGAGGGCGGGGGTCTGGCAGAGGAGGCGAAGAAAACAATGCATCTTACATGGGATCGAAGCCTTCAGGCCTGAGCACGGCCAAGAGCCTACGGCCTTGCCCCCCCGCCTGAACAATCGAGCAACTTCAACCCTGAAAGCACGGCGAACCCAAAGGCACATCCCTTTCAGATCCACCCGCAGCCAGAGGAAGGCGGCGCAAGTGGCATACCCATGAAGCAACATAACGCATCTGGGACCAAAACAAGCGAATCGCAACATGGACAACACGTGCCATGGCCCGCGCAGCATTACCTCGACATCACTGCGATTGGGTCTGGAGCGGTAATGGCGATGATGGTGATGCTGGTGCTAATGACGGTGGTCGTGGCGCCTCTGACCGAGACGTTGACGGCGATGTTGATGGCGGAGGGGGTGATGACGAGCTTGGCGAAACTGGCGGTGTTGATGATGATGATGATGATGATGATGATGATGATGATGATAGCGATGGTGATGTCAGTGGTGATGAGAGTGATACGGACGGCCATCCTCCTCTTGCTGTCCTCCTTCTCCTCCTCCAGGGTTCTACCGCGGGCGCTCCTCAGGCACCCATTTCGGTAGTGTCGGCGGCGGCGGCCGCGTAGCTGGCCAGGGCATCGGTGCGCACCTGCTCCGCCTGCTCGCAACTAATCGCGTCCACGATGGCCACGGGCCCGCGGGCCCGCGACCGTCGCAGGCCAGGTGGCCCCCATTTCAGCGCGGCATGCCGCCCCAGAGCCTGGTCGATCCAACCCTGCCAGAAGAGGCAGTACGAAGCAGATGCCGTTCCCAGCTACTGCATCCGCCCCGCGGCCCGCATCGCAGCCTCGAAGTTGATCCACGCCCGACGCGAGTCCACCCATGCGTGGAACGCGAAATTGAGCGCATCCTCCCACATTTGGTGCTCACGACCGTAGACAGGGGGACAGGCGGCCTGCGCGGCATCATCGTCCGTCGCAGGCGCGCCCCCAGACGTGGTGCCCGAGCTGGGCGCTGCCGCCGCGCCAGAGGGCTGGGGCTTGCCCCGCAGGCGTTTTGCCGAGGGCTCCCCTCGGGCGCTGCCCCCGCGGCCCGCGCCATAGTCGGCACGGGCGGCGGGGGCATGATCGGCGACATTGCTTTTGCGCTTTGGGCCGCGATAGACGGCGGAGGCGTGGACGGCGGCCGCGGCCTTGGCGGCCTCGCCTGGAACGGCAACTTCGGCCCTGAGGCCCTGGGGCACGCGGACAACGGACAAGCAGACGGAAGCACCACCCTTGGGGGCGGCCGCGGCGGCACCATCCTCTGGGGACGCGGGAGCTCCCCATGCGGGCCCATCATGGGCGGCGCCCCGGCCTCCGGTGCGCCGCGCACGCTCAAACTCAAAACTTCGGCGGGTGTTTTTTTGTTGTTGAACACTTCTGTTCCGACAGAAATACGGTCGTCCGAGGGCCTTGCACGGGCACCGCCAACGGGCCAAGGGCCCTGCATGGGAGGCCGACCCTGCATCGCGACGAGCGGCCGCCGCCGCCCCGCACTCAAACCAAAAAATATCAAGTGGGGAAGGAAGGGGGGGAAAGGGGGGGAGGTGCACAACAGGATTGCTGGACCGCACCACATCTGACGTCCTACCATTGCCACCGCATCTGGTTCTCGGTGCCACGTGGGCCCTGTCCATTACCGTCGTCGCGCGACCCCAGACCCTGTCCGCAGACGTGGCGTGCCATCAACCTAAGCCGTCAATCATGCAACAACGCCTACATATATATATATATATATATACATACACGTAGTGATGGATACGCCAAACACTTCCTCTCTACAAACCTGATATACGCAACACACCCAACATAAACTTAGCACGACGAAGCCGTTCTGGCTCCTGAACCAAAGCGCACGTCAAAGTTTAACCTCATCTGCTGCTCAGGGCAACAGATTAGCCAAAGCCACAAGTTCTGTCCGAACCATCCGACTCGCCTGAACCATGCGACCTACTCAACCCAACCGTGAGCATCTGGAATTAAGGCTCAGGGCCAGAGGCTCCAGGTTTGGAGCTTCTGGCTGAAGACCCCGCGGTTAAAGGTCAGGGTTCCAGGCTTGAGGTTGAGGGCGTGAGGCTTTGGGCTCATGGCCTGTTTCCGAGGTAGCGCCAAAGGGCAGAATGCTCGGGGCTTCGGTGTCAGGGCCGACGGCTTGGAGTCGGAGGCGCGGGGCCGAGGGCCCCCCGAGCTGCGCGCCCACGGCCCAGCGGCTTGGCGGCGCGGCTAAGGAATAGCGCCTTCGGGCTGAAGGCCCGATGCCCAAGGACCTGGGCTCAGCGCCTAAAGCGGAAGACACGTTGCCAAAGGCTGCAGGATTTTGGCTCAGTGGCTATGGTTTCGGGCACTTGCTCTCAAGCGCGATGGCTTCAGGCTTCGCATATCGGGCATCGGGCACTGGGCCCAGGGTTGAGACCTTATGGGCCAGGACTTTGGGATTCTGGCCCACTGCCTATGTCTGAGGGCCCAGTGCCCAGGCCTCAAAGCTCTGTGATGAAGGCAGACATGCCAGGGCCAATTGGCTACCGCTGGCGGCATGGTGCTGCGGCCCTAAGGTTGGGATCCTCGCGCAAGGGGCGAAGGGGCCAGGTCTGAAGGCTTCGTGCGCGGGGCCTCAAGCTGAAGGCTTTAAGCTACAGGCTCAGGGCTGACACCATGCCCAGGTGCCGTGCCATGGGATGAAGCCCAGGGTCGCCGCCCTCAGATACAACGTTGTCTCTGGCTCCAGGACAGGGACCCAGGTCTCTGGGATGAGGTGTTCGGAGAAGTCCAAGGCTGAGGTCCTGGAGCGATGTCAGGAGTTATGGCCCTGGGGGTGTTCAGAGTAGCGGCCATGTCTTAATGATAGTACAGTGGATCGGCCTACACATGGCCCTGGAGACTCGGTTGCGCAGGAACTGCGAAGGCGCTCCGACGGCGCGAGCATGCCCCCCCCCCCCCCCATCAAAACCACCACCCCGATGCTCTAAGCCCTGG